TGGCTGTCTTGTGTTGTGGGGATCGAACCACAGCAACCTGAGCCAGACTGCTTTGTTGAAGCAGCCACTTAAAGAACTGAGCTAAGGGGCAGGCCCCCTACCGTTTCTTTTTAAATAGGTAAATTATCAGAGATCTCTTATAAGAAGAATTTGAAGGTTCTTCCTGCGGAGCTCTGGACATGTAAATGGTTAGTCTTCAAGTAGATGGAGACTACAGGTTCTTCTTTTTTTTAAAATAGTATCATGTTTTAATTTTTTCTGTTTGACTGTATGTTCTAAATGTCTTCAGGAGAGAGGGAAAACATCTTTAAGATAATTTTAATCAACATGAGCAAGGGATTAAGTGCCAAGTATAAAAAATAAAATAAAACTTTTAGCTTACTAAACCAGGAAGGATGTTTCTGAAGTATATCAGTTAAATTGGCCTCCAATGTGTTCACAAATGGACAACATGGATCTGCTAAGAAATATTTTAAAATTGTATCCACTACTATAAAAGCTAAAGGACATGAAAATTTTCAAGTTACAATCCCCTGGACAAACCAATACAAGTTAGTTTTAACTTGAAATCAGAAGTGCAAAAATCTGTAAAACAATTAAAATATTACCATTACTCTCAGAAATTTACTGATGTGTCAGACGAGTCTTCCTAGTAAAGTGAATCCCAATCTCTTGGCTCACTGCTTAGGTGACAGGCAACTTTTGAAGCTGAATTTCTCAATAGGTGGACAGAAGCAAGCTGCACTGACCAAACTGTTCCATTTTGAATGTCATCTTCAGAGCGGAAGAAATTCCAGCAATGACTTTCAATGCCTCACTGCCTGCACCTGGCTAAGTCTGCACAGGAAGTCCATGGGCAGATGTGACTCTCAGCTCAAAAGCTGGAAACAGATTAAAGACATGGAAGTGGAAGTCAAACGTTTTCATTCATAGATGCTACCTCAGGGAAGATGCCAAGGGCTGTTGCACTAAAACTGAAAAAGGAAAAATGAGGTAACCAGCTATTAACAATGCTGGAGGTTTGTGGTGCATGTAGCATAAGATAGACCTTTCACATCTAGCTGCGAGGAGTTCTATTTGCAACTCACTTTTGAGCAATACTTCTAGACATTTCCATTAACCAATTCATCTCAACTCTGAACAGTCATAACTAATACTCAGAATGAAGCCTCTGATACCCTTCAATGCTCTATGAGATTTTTCCAGATCAAACAGAAGTCATAGAATGCCTACTACTATTTGGAGCATTCTTCCCAGTATTATCATATTTTATAATTATTTTTAAATTAATAATCCATTGTAGGGGCTCAAGGATAGCTCTGTTAACCATATTGTGTTTGGTTTTTTTTTTCAGAACCAGGGATTGAACTCAGGCCCTTGTGCTTGCCAGGGAAGTGCTTATTCTACTGAGCTATCTCCTGGCCCAACCATATTGTTTTATCAATTAGAATATCCCACTCCAATAGGGTGAATGATTACAGCTTATTATACATTCAAAACCAAAGCTGGAAAAAAAATAAAAAACTGGGCAATGGGCTGTTGGAATCTGATCACACACAATGAACTAGCCCACTAATCAACTCTTTAACTTTATCCTAGATGCAAAAGCATCAGGGTGTTTCAATGTAACCAGAGCATTTCTTAGCATAAAGTCTTCAGAAAGACCTTCCATTGCTGTAGGATTCAGAATCATTTCTCACTTAGCAAGCCCTGTATTTGCTCACTCTCTTTTACATCCAGTCATCCAACTTTGGCTAGCTGTTGAGTCCCAGTGGAAGAACTCCATTCTACTTTTGAGCTTGTCCTTTAGGGACTGGGAAGTGGAAGATAGGGTTGTTTTTTCTGGCCATCTGCCAAACATGGAACCCCAGGCTTCTTGGGATAAGTTTGACTTGCAATTCTGAAGAACTCTTCTGCAGCATCAAGAGCAATAAGTCGGTCCACAACGAAAAGGTATCTCTCTGAGAGCTCCCAACTGGTTGGAAAAATACTGGTCTCTTCCACTAGTTTTAACATCTCTCGAGCTTTCCTTGTGTTTTTAGAATCATTCATGGTGGTAAGTTTAGTCACTGACAACAAAGAATCCACTTCCTTTTGAAAACCCAAATATTCTAAAATGTGTTTCCATCTGTTTCTCACTTCCCTTCGAATCTGCTGCAGGGTATAGATATCATAGTTGAGTTTCTGCCACTCCTCTGAGTCTTTGGCCTGCTGATTACAAACAACTATCAAATTGTACAAGATTCTGTCATCGTCTGCCTCTGTGTGGGACACGTCAGGAGGTAGGCTCCACAGATTCTTCTCATCGTCCCTCGCCAGAGTGGCTCCAAATGAAGAATATGGATTACTGCTGCCTCTTCCTCCTCCTCTTCCTCCTCCTCCTCCTCTTCCTCCTCTTCCTCTGCCTCCTCTCCTTTGCCTCCTCCTTTCGACTACAGGTTCTTGACTATGTAGTTCAGGCTGCCCTGGAACTCACATCTTGGCCTCTTATATCAGCCTCCTGAGACCTGGGATTATAGATGATATAAGAAAAGCAATATTTTTTACCCTCCTGAAGAGAGAAAATAGTGGCAGGTGGACTACATAAACAGCTTTCAGAGAACCTTCATGTGAATGAGAAACATGCCTCCATTAGGACTTCAGGTGTCTGGCAGCCCTGTGTCACACTGAATAACCAAAGAAACTTGTTCTGGCTGTTTTTGATGCTGCTGTTGTTGACTGTACTACTTTAGCTATTCTAATCAGCTGCTCTTCCTAAACAGATTATCAAAGAATCATAAACAATATAGGCCAGTGCTAAAGAAATGGTCAGCAGCTTCTCATCCCCAGTAAATTGAAATGGTATGATCTGGCAACAGACTGGAAAGCCAACTACATCTGGAAGACATCTCTGAGAAATAGTCATTTTCCAAGGTTCCTAAATACTAGCAATAAAGCTATTTGCTATAAACAATTTACAAATATCAACCCAGGAAGTAAACTAAAAATACAAAAAATGAGAAGACACTTAAGCAAGATGAAACTCTAGACTTTGAGCTCACCAAAGACAAGCTCAGGAGTTGGTCGTGGTGACACACATGCCTGTGATCCCATAACTATAGTGATGGTAACCTTAAATACTTGGTTAGTGATTCTAGAGCACATATAGATTAAAAAATAGAGGAACTTAGGAAATGATGGGAACCATGAATGCCCAACATAAGAGATTCCAGAAAGTTGGGCTAAACGCCTGTTGTTTTTTAAATAATGTCTCACTGTAATCCACACTGGCCTTGAACCTGGGGCTTTCCTGAATGATAGGTGTGTGACACCACTGTGCCCAACTGTTTTGGGTTTTTTTTCATGAAAACAAATCTCAAGTTACCAGATCACTTGGTTAGTAAACACAAAGGTATGGATTAATAACTATTTGAAACTAAATAGCTTCAATGATGAATGGATTTGCCAATGATTTGTTACTGAAGTTTCAGTCATCTAAAAAAAAAAAATATGTATGTGGCCTTTTCATTGGAAAAAAAAAAGGAGAATTTGAAAAGATAAAATCTTTTATCTAATTTAGGATCAGTCATGTCTAATCCATGATAAATCTCAGGAGGAGAATCTGCCCAAGTAATGGGTCTAAGTAGTGGTGAATTAACATAAGTCTAGGACTCTCTGTTGCTGAAACAGATATTATACATAGGATATCTTCAGCAGAACCATTAAAGCAATCAAAAGATTTTCAGGGGGTAGTGGTAGGTTTTCTGTCTGATTCACAAGTTCCTGAGGCCAAGCCTTGTTGGAAGGGCCTGTCCTCTGGAGGACACAGATCAGTGGAGTCATCACATGGGACTGTATCCAGGGTTGACCATGTCTCCTGCCAGGGTTGTACACTCCTAGATGGCAGCCCCCTCAGAACCCCATCACTTGTGAGGATACAAGCATAAGCCTCATGTTATTAGCTTAACATTGTCACTCCCACTTTCCTATGTCAGTGTCTTTCCAAAGCACTTGAGCCCTATGTTGGGCATCATTATGGGATGTTGACCAATGAAGTTCTGCAAAAGTCAATTTACTATCCATGGCTGGATTTCAAAAGTTTAGAGTAAAAATGACTAAATCTGACTGTGCTTGTGGAGATAACTATACTCTTTTTTAATTGAGTTTTATGAGATAGGTATGCTCAGAACACTTAGTGTTCTGTCCCAGAAAGCATCTCCTCATTTATTTATGGATGTAAATTAGGACCCATTCTCTGTATGAGCCTGCTCTGAAATGAGACTTTTAAATTTTACATCAAAATGAAGAAACTAGCAGTAAGTGGGCATGTTTATGCTAGGTGCCTGTTATCATATGATGTCATTTGATCTGTATGCAAGACATTCTGTAGAACTCCTGACATAAATGGGCACTAAACTCCACTATTAACAAAACTTTGTGTAATTTAGTATCTAAATTTCAAAAGGCAAATGAGAAACAATCTTCTCATTATGATCGTTTCACTGAGTTCCAACTGAGATGCAAGAGGAGCCTACCAGTGATTTCTCTTTTTGCAGCTGCCTATTCCCTTAAAATCTGTAAGTGTCTAAACATCTATATGGGATATTTTTAAGGCTCCTGCTCCTGCCTAAGAGTCTCTGCTGAAAGCTCTTATGTTTCTTCTGTGTCTGAGTCATAAGGTTTTGACTGTAAACTATACAACAGACTTGAAATTGAACAAACTAGGTTCCAAGTTGAAAAAGTCTCAGAGGAAATGATTTTTCCTATACTGTGTGCCTTTTTAAGATGTTTTTTCCTAACTCCTTGTCAATTGTCAATATCTACAGTGCCTATCTAAGTAAACTATAAATTATATTTGGTTACCTCTTATAACATTTTTGTTAGCATTTTTTGACAGACAAGCACCTGAGTGTTTAAACAAACTTTGGAGCAGCCTTATGTATCTGCCCTTTGGTTGAAAAGTTTTGGCCCATTTTACTCCTGAATGAAAGCAGCTGTTCTCAGCAGGAAGGCTTTCCTCTATTCTTGGTGAATGTATCTCTTCCCTCCTTTCCCCAGGTGTCCCCAGCAAAGTTTTCACCTTGTCAAGGCCTTCATCTCCCACACTTTCCACTCTAGGTAAACTTACATGTATGTTCAAGCTAAAACTTTCCAGTCTAAGGACTGTATGTCCCTGTTCAAGTGCCAGGTATCTGTTTCATAATATCATTGCTATGTGCCACTCAGAGCTTTTATGTTTTTTGGTTCAATTTTGGTAATTCTTATGTGTTGAGAAATTTTTGCACTTCTTTTAGGTTCTCCAATATTTGGAGCATAACCCTTTGAAAGTTTTTTCATTGTCTTTTATATTTCTGTAGTGCCTATTGTAATTTTTTTAACTTTATTGAAAATCAATAATTACATATCATAGTAAAAATTATAGACAAATATTAAAATGTGAAAGATATAAGATGTATACAGAGTGAGTTTTAGAGAAATATTTCTGAAATGAATACATAGCATGAGATTAATAATAGATTGCACACTGTAAATAAATTATCTACAAATGAATTAATATAACAATAAAAATTGTTCAATATAAAAATGAAGAAGAAAGAATTTACAGATCAGTCATAATAGTTCACTCTGAGTCAAAATAAAGAAAATTATATTTATATAATTAGAATTCTCAAAGTAGAAAGGGGTAGGCAATAAATATTTAAAGATTTAAAATTTCTGATTTTAGTTGAACTTATAACACTGCATTTCCAAGAAAAATGAACCTTTTGCACAAGAAATTTGAATAAAATCATACCAAGACATACAAAAATGAAATTGTCTGAAACTTATTGTAAATAAAAAATCATTAAAGCATATACGTAAAAATATTAGCTATGGAAGAACAAAATTAAATAGCATCTTATTCCACTTAAGAAAAAAAAAGACCAAGTGTGTAAGAAACCAGACTAATTAAAGAACTGAAAGAAAAAAGAAAGATCTGTCCTCTTTGAATTTTATACTTAGCAAACAAACTTTTGAAAACTAAAAGTAAAATATTTTCCAGTTATACAAACTCAAAATATTCTAATACTTCCAGATGTAGAAGTTGCTGTATGGTCCTGGATAAAGAATAAAGAGCTCTCAAAATGATAGTTATGCAGGGGTATTAAACTATATAGATGAACCCATTTAAAAGGTCATTAAAGATTTCTATGAAACAGTATCAATCTTATGTTGGGTTATAACATATGTTTTTCGTGTGTGTGTGTGTGAGTGTGTGTGTGTGTGTGTGTGTGTGTAAAAGACAAGGAAAAAGTAATATAAAGTCAATGGAAAATGAAAATACTCTTTTTAAAGTTTCTAATACTAGAAAATATCATACCATGTCTTTTAAGTAGATTGTAGTCAAAGATACAGTACAAATCATAAAACAAAAATTAAGATTAAGGAATATTCAGAAAATTAAATATTAATTAATTAAAAATTGAATGTTTCAAAACAATTGAACTAAGAAAAAATTTTCATGTTAGTAAAGAAGAGCTCTCCAAATAACATCAACCCAATTAAAACCACACCCAGACAGACAATAATCAAGATCCCAGAAATTAAGATAAATGAAGATAAATACTGGAATGGCAAATAAATGACCAGCACTTCTAACAATTTGGAGATAGGATATCGCACAAAGTTCTAGTATGTTGTGGACATGGATAGTGTCCATGATGCTTATTGGTGACCAGGTGTCACTTGTGGGACGGAGCTACTATTTCCTTAATATCCACCCTGTAGACCCAGGTAGAATCATGACCCATAGGTCCATTTGTAGTGTATGCTTATGGGAATATTTTGCTGCTGTATACAAAAGACTGCTTTTGTATACCTCTTATTCCCCTGTTTAATTGTTTGCCCTATTTGGTGAGTTCTTTCCATTTTCATTGATGGAGCTGTGGTCATTTTGCTCCTTCTCTAGAATATTTTTAAGTAGTCTGTGTAGGCTTGGCTTTGTCATCATGAAAGTCTTTAGTTGTTCTTTGTCATGGAAGTATTTCACTTCTCCAACAAACTTGAGAGTTTTGCAGGGCATATCAGTCTGGGTTGGAATTTGTTTTCTTGCAAGACTTGAAGTACTTTGCTCTATGCTCTTCTTGATTTCATGGTTTATAAAGAGAAATCTGCCATTATCCTGATGGGTTTTCCTTAAGTGTGATCTGTTTCTTTTCTTTACTGGATTTTAATATACTGTTCTTATGAGGAATTTCTGGGATCTTGATTATTGTCTGTCTGGGTGTGGTTTTAATTGGGTTGATGTTATTTGGAGTTCCTTCAGTTATCTGAATGTCAGATTTTTTCCTCACATTTGGGAAATTTACTGCTATTACTTCTGCCCATATTCTTTTTAT